GGGGGGGGTTGCGCTTCAACTCGCCTAAGGCACCAAAATGGCTATAGCCAGCACTGGGTCACCTGATATTTTGCTAACAGACAGGCAAAGCCGGCAGTCATAGTTAATTGAGGAGTTTGAAAATCACGTTTGATCGGTAGTACTCAGACATCTTCAGTGTTGGGCAAAATTTTTATAATTTGGCATAAAACCTTATGTGACATGGCTTTAAGTTTGCATAGCTGTGGCGGCCATCTTGGATTGAATTAACTCCAAACTACATCTAGACATAGGTTCAGAGATGACTTTTTGAGTTTTCTGAGTTATTCTTGAGATATTTTGCTAACAATACTGACATAAAATCACACACCGACATTGGCAAAAACATTATTGCCTCTTGCCTTTGACCATTACAGTTTCTTGAAATTGTTTCAAAACTTTGGTGAACAAGACATTCAGTGAGACTGTACATCCACAATTGAGTTAATATATAAACTGAGCTCAAGGAAGTAGTCGTGGTGTTTAAATGAACTTTGCACCCCTTTTTAATAAAACTTTATTGCCATCATTATCTCGTTTGTAAAGATGATCAGTTCACACGTGCCACGTCCCCAAAGAGCGGCTTTAGTGAAGCAAATGAAGGACATGAAAAGAACAAAGCAAGGAAAAAAGAAGAAAGGATTTTGAGGATTTCCTACGTGGGTACAGTTTTACTAGGATGATGTTTTTGTTTATTTATTTTTACACATGCAGGAGCTACAAAATCTCACAGAACAGCTTCTTCTCCCTGAAAGGGTTCTCTGATGACGGTACCGGGGTCACCAGAGGGTCCTCTTTGGCGTGGGCTTCACAGAAGGCCATGAGCTCAGCTGCTGCTTTAGAGATCTGAGGGGAGAGTTGTGTTAAATTGTAGCTGTTTGATTAGTTTACAACCAAAGCACTTACGTTTTCTTTTGAACATGAAATTATAAGGAAAAAATTGAGCCAAATGTCAAAAATATTGAGATGTTACTAAATAAAATGACTYATTTATACTCATATGACAAGGTAAATATAAATGCCACCTGTTTATCTTTGCTTTAAATGCTGACTCACCATCATCCTCTCTATGTTGACCTCCAGCTTCAGTTGCTCCACGGTCTTTCTCGCATCTGCAATCTTGGCCATGTTGTTGGACATCTTCCCACCGCTGCCGTCCCACTAAAGTCAGCCAGCCTGCAGCC